CTCCGCGGGGCCGGGACACCGCAGGGGTCGCTTCCCGGGAGCTGGAGGCGGGGAGAGCTGCCGAGGAGGGGAGGGGGCCGTGGTCCCCGGGTGGGGAATGTGCCCGTCGCCGTGGCTACGGGACCACGCCAGCCGCGGCCCCCTGGGGCTCTGGAGCTGCTCTGGGTGGGGCTCTCCCCCTCCTAGGGGCTGTGGAGGGATCGACCTGTCGGGCCTGCCCGCCTTCCCACGGGGGACTCCTGCACGGGGGAGGGAGTTGAAGAGGCCGCTTCTCCCCGCCCGTGAAGTGTGGATGCCCCAGGGGCACGGAGCTAGGAGCAGCCCTGGGGGGCCTTCTGAGTGGGGCGCAGTCCGGGAGAAGCACAGGCCCAGCAGGCACCCTTTCTGGGCTCTCATCCTGCTCTCCTGCAAACTGCCTGCATGACCTTGGGTCAGACCCTTCCCTGTCCCAGGCTCAGTGGTAACTACGGGGGGATGGTCGGGAGGTAACCTCTAAGATGCCCTCTCCCCCGCCCCGTGATCCCCCGATGCTGTGACCTTGGTCACCTATTGATGTCTCCGTCCTCTCTATAGAGTTATATCAGCGCCTGCCCTGCCTCCCTGCAGGCTGCGAGTGTCTAACAAGATAGTTGCTCCTTTGGAAACTTATAAACATCCCCTAAAGACTAGGAATCTGGAGGGACAGTGTGGTGGCTTCAGGGGACAGCCTCTAACAGGGACAGTCACTGGGCCCTGCTGGGCTGGTCGCCCCTCAGATGTCCTCTCCCTGGATGCTCAGATGACACCTGAATGCGGGGAAAAGGAGTGAGGCTCAGGAAGGCCAAGTCATTGGCCCAAGGTCACACAGTCAGAAAAAGGTAGAGGCAGCCCTTGAACCCAGGGCCATCTGACCCCAGAACTCTTGCTCCACTGTGACTCCTCATTCCAGAGAAGAGCACACTCTCCCTCCCTCCCTGCAGTTCTACCTGGAACTGTGGTGAGGGTGTGGTGAGGGTGTGTATTCGGGGCTGGGCTGGAGGCTCACTCCTCTCTCACTGCCTGTGCCCTCACCTCTGTAGGATGAAACCGGGGCCTACCTCATCGACCGGGACCCCACCTACTTTGGGCCCATCCTGAACTTCCTCCGGCACGGCAAGCTGGTGTTGGACAAAGACATGGCTGAGGAGGGTGAGTTGGTCAAGGGGCCAGCCTGCAGCCCAAGTCCAGCCCTGCTCCCTGCAGCCTGCCAGGGCCTTCTGTGTGTCTGGCCTCTCCCCATCCTGGGCAGGGCTGACTCCTAAAGCCTCCGCCTGGGCTGAGCCTGGGGCCTCTGCCAAGCCAACAGGCCCAGGCTCCCACCCGGTGCTGTCAGGGCGGTGACAGAGACACACATGCACACAGGGAACAGGAAGCCAGCGAGGTCTGCAGCCGCTGGCCCCCTAGGAAGCCAGGTATGGATGGCCACACCCTGAGGCTGCAGGAGGGGGTGGGGTGGAGACAAGCATGGGTAGGGCTGCAGCTATCTCTTTTCCCCCTGTGATCGGGATCTCAGATTCTGAGGGCTTGCAGTCAGCCAGTGGGCGGAGCGGGTGACTCTTCCCTAAATCTGGCAGCCTTTGCAGCATGGTGCTGGTTGTGGGTGGAGGCAGGGGAGGGGGGAGTCTGCTTCCCAGTGGGGCTTTGGTCCTTCCCAGCCTGAGTGGCTGAGGCCCTGTGAATGCCCACATCTGGGCCTAGCAGGCAGTGGGGAAGCTGTGTCTGGGAGAATGACCACTTAGCAGGGCCCCAGCCAGGGGCAGGACAGAAGTTATTGCCAAGCTCACTCTTTCTTGGGGCACAGGGTATGGCTCTGGGTCAGCTGATCCAGCCAGGCCAACTTGGACATGCCCCTTCCCCTGTCTGCCTCTCTGCTGGGATCTGTGAGATGGGAACAGTGATCTGCAGTCTGGAGAGCGTGCTTTTGGGACTGCAGCTGGCATGAGTCCTGGGCACAGCATTTGCACCTGTGAGTGTCCAGCACAGCATGCCTCCCCACTCGGGACCACAGTCTCCCATTCCCGACCCCTGTGAGTTCAGTGGTCTGGCAGCCACATGACTCCCTAGTAGGTCAGGGCTTCAGCAGTAGAGCCCACTGTAGGTACCTGGCTCTTCAGAGCCCAAGCTTCCCCTGTGTCTCCTTGGGGAGCACAGTTGCCATGGGTGTGGCCTGGGCTCAGGAGCAGGTCCCGTGAGAAGGAAGTAAGCACTTTACCTGCGTCACAGCCAACACCTGTTTACAGGGTTCTGGGTCTCCCAAGGCCCTGCTATGGCCAGCCAAGGGGTGCAGGAACCCTGCAGACAGGGCTGGGGCTTCCATCCTGGGCATGGGGATCAGGAAAAGGAGACTTACTAGTGGTGTGACGTTGGGAAAGTTTCATAGCCTCTCTGTGCCTCTGTGGCCCCCTCTGTGAAATGAGGGACAATGGCACCCACCTCACCAAGCTGTCATGAGCATCAAAGGAGCTAATACCTCAGTGCCTGGTCTGAGGCTGCAGGATGCAGTATTGGTCGTCACCTGCAGAGCCCTGCCCAGGGACCTGGGAGAGTTCCATCACCCAGGCAGCAACACTCACTGCACATCTGCTCTGCGTGAGGTCCTGTGTGGGCTCTGGGGTCAGAGACCAGATCTGAGATGGTCTGCACTTAGTCCAGGCTGCTATGGTAGAGTTCATGGATTGGGTGGCTTATGAGCAACAGGCATGTATTTCACAGTTCTGAAGGCTAAAAGTCCAGCACGGCCACGGGCTGGTGAAGACCCTCTCCCAGGTTGCCAACTGCCAACTTCTCAGTGTAGCCTCGCTGACAGGAAGAGAGGGAGCTAGCTCTCTGGCCGCTTCTCAAAGAGGAATCTCATCACTAATCTCATCACTGAGACTCCTCCCTCATGACCTGATTACCTCCCAAAAGCCTCACCTCCCCTCCTCATACAATCACACTGGAGATTCATTTTCCAAAGATGAATGTTGGGGGATCACAGACATTCGGTCTGTATCAGACCCTCTCCTCAGAGAGCCCAAAGGCCTATCAAGGAAAGGGCTGGAAGGTCCCCTGGCCTGTAGGAGCCTAGAGGAATCCAAACACCTGTGAGCGGATTCCATTTCACTGGTGGGTATCCCGTTTGATCTCTCAGACTGATGACACTGTAAAGTGGGGACAGTAATGCTTGCTTTCTGTACATTCCCAGGACCTATGTTGAGCACGTGAGGGGCTTTGCAGACTGTACAGTGCGGTGGTTGGGGGGATGCACATACACACTTATAGAGTGAAAACGTGGGCTCTGAAGTCTCCTGGCTGTGTGACCCTGGACAAGCTGCTTCTCTCTCGGAGCCTCCGTTTCCCCAGTTGTTCAGTGTGGCTGATGACAGTATCTGCTTCTTGCTCTGAGAATCCTAAGTCATAAAGGATGCCGTATGCTTACACAGCATGAGAAATGGGAGCACGTGGCGGGGTCAGCCAAGGCCCTCGTGAGGCAACATTGTCGGGGTCAGTCCCACTGAGCTTGCTGTCTCTTGATGGCCCTTGAGCAGCCCCTCAGAATGGGCTGGAGGCACCCATTCTGGTTCCCCAAGCTCCGCTTGGCAGGGGAGACAGAGCCGACTGGGTGGCAGCGTCCCAGCTGCTCCCCAGGGAGCATAGGCCCAAGGGAGGAAGTGGCCTCTTGCTTCACCGCAGCCCACCGCCACTCAGCTCTCCCTCAGGGCTGGCGCTGGAGCAGGAAATCGGTCTGAGGGCAAAGGGATAAGGGGAGAACCAGCATGGGGGCTGTGGGAGTGACCTAGGGGCTGCTCTGTCTGTGCCAGGGGTCCTGGAGGAAGCCGAGTTCTATAACATCGGCCCGCTGATCCGCATCATCAAAGACCGGATGGAAGAGAAGGACTACACGGTCACCCAGGTCAGGAGAGGGCAGCGCTGTGGCCAGGGCAGCCCAGGTGGGAAGGGGAGGGCGGAAGGGAGGAGGGGCTTGGGAGGGGCGGGACTAGTGTTTGCCTCGTGGAGGCTGAGCTGGCCTGTGAGGAGGGCATGGTCATCGGGCACAGCCCCAGCCTGGGAGATGGGCACTGGGGTGTTGTCCCTACCTTGGTTCCATTTGTCGTGGGACCTTGGGCCAGGCTTACCCCTCTCTGGACCTTGATTTCTGCTTGTGGGATATAGAGATGCTGAGAGCTGCCCACCCATCCTTTCCTTACAGGCAAAATGGGGTCAGTGGAGGTGAGGGGGGCCTGCAAGATTCGTGCACTTCGGGGGTCAGGTGGTCCCTGGTGGGCACAGCATAAGCTGTTGGGGCTAGCATTTCTGAGCTTGGACCTGGGCCTGTGACCAGTGTGCAGGAGGAGGTGGGAAAATCCTCTGCCCACCCCTGGGACTTGGGGGAAAGGTAGTGAGGTACCATCTCCCAAACCCAGGAGACTGGAAAGGGATGGTTCCATGTCTCCTGGAGGGCCCGACTCAACTGGCCACCCAGAATATCCCCACTCTTTTCCACCTCGTGTCACCTGAATTCCAGTTCTGTCTCAGCCACCCTTGAGCTGAGTGGCCTTGGGCAAGTAACTTAACCTCTCAGTACCTCAGTGAAAGATCCCACAATGCATAGGGTTCTTGGAAGGATGAACTGAGATCATGCATGTTGAGTGCCTGGCACTTAGTAGCTGCTCAGAACGTGGCTCTCCTCCCCATTGTGCGCTCTCCCCTCCCCTTCCTTCTCACCTCTCTCCTTCTTTGGTGTCTTGTGGGGGCAGGGCGGCAGGTGCTCGTCTCCTTTCTGGGGCGCCTGGTGCTCCCACAGGTGCCCTCCATGTGACCCTTCCGCCCACAGGTCCCGCCCAAGCACGTGTACCGTGTGCTGCAGTGCCAGGAGGAGGAGCTCACGCAGATGGTTTCCACCATGTCTGATGGCTGGCGCTTCGAGCAGGTGGGTGGAGAACAAGGCACCTCCAGCCCCACCCCGGGACTTCCCGGCCTCCCAGCAAAGCAGGTCTCTCCTTCCCACTGCTCGGCCTTGGGTTCCCTGCCACAGGTCCTAGCCAGGAGTTTCCTTAAATCAAACTAGACAAAGTTAGGAAAGACCACACTTGGCAGCAGACTGACCAAGAAGGAGAGGACAGGAGTTGCATGTACCACAAGGCAGCGCCGGGCATCCTTGGTGGCAGTCCTCGCGGCAGCTGGTGGAGATCTTCGAGGCAGATAGGCGAGGCTCGGGTTCCTGGGAGCGAGCTGGTACATGGAGACCAGAGGCACATGGGCGAGTGGGATCCACCTTGAGTCAGCACCGATGGCTGCAGAGGTGGCTTGGGCACAGCTTCCAGGGCTTCCATGAGGGACAGGCCAGCTCCGAGCATTGCCACATTCAGGGAAGCCCAAAGCAGTGGCTTCCGTGAAGTCTTATGGTGACCTGTGGCTCCTCCCAGTCTGGCTGCAGCTTCTAGCCAGGGGAGCCTTTTCTCCTAAGCAGTGCTGCCCTGGTAACACAGCCCATGTCCACCACTCAGGTTTCCAGGCAGAGAGCAGAAAGCTAAGCCAGCATCAGGGTTGCCCGTAGGGAAGGAAAAGGCTTTGACTGGCCTGTTATTCACACCCACCCACAAGCTCCCTGGCATGTGAAAACAGAAGGCAGAGGCCGGGCCCCCAGGATGGCCTCACCATGTGGAAGGACAAGGCAGTGCAGGAGCCAGGGGCCTCTGGCCATCCCTGTGACACACTGGCCTCCTTGGGCAAGCCACACCTCCACTCTGGGCCTGTTTCCTCCTCTGTGATGTGGGCTAACAGGACCTCCCTTGCAGGCCTGTTAGAAGGGCCATCCACAAGGCTCCTGGCCCTGAGTAGAACACCGTGCGTTGGCACTGGCGTCACACACATGACTAGAAGTACTGCATTTAAGTCTCCAAGACTCCCCTGAGGACGAAGGATTCGACACCCTGTTCCCCTTCCCTGGCTGTGGAACCCCCCACAGGCCACCACCTCTCCATGCCTCTTCTGTCCAAGGGACGCTATCATCCCCTCTGCCTGCCTTACCCTCTGAGTGAGGGTGCCTGAGGGCTGAGTGAGACCTGCCATGGGCAAGCACTGTATTAGCCAGAAGAGCCCTGTGCTGTGGTTATTCTAGGGATCTCAGAACAAAGGCAGCCCCTCCAAGCCTACAGGCGTCTGTGGCCACCACACTGGCTGTCAAGGCCGAGCTAGCAGGCTGGGGCCACCGGCCATTTACCCTCTACATACCGGATGGGCAGCCAGTTCCACATCTGTCTCCAAGAGAAAAGGGAATAATCTGTGGGCTCTGCATGCCGACCCCACCCTGCACCCTCATCCTGGGGCTGCATCAGCCACATCTGGGACAGGGACAGCCTGCCTTTGACAGTCCTCCGCCCGTTTTTTAGAAAGAGGCCGCCTGAGCCCGGGGCTAGGCAGGGGTGGTGGGTGGGGATGGCGATGCTACTGCCACCCTCCTCTAGAGGTTGGGCCAGCCAGGCCAGGTGGGAATGCTGGTCCTGGGGAACAGACCAGAGGCACCCGTGGGGAGGGGGGAGGGCCCCACCCAGGAGCGGCCCAAGCAAGCAGCAGGCTCCAGGCTCCAGATGCTAGGCAATGTCTGGGGTGCGAGGCCTGCACACACCCACTGGCCAACCTGCCTCTCCCCCATGCTCACCCTTCCAGCTGGTGAACATCGGCTCCTCCTACAACTACGGCAGCGAGGACCAGGCCGAGTTCCTGTGCGTGGTGTCCAAGGAGCTCTACAGCGCCCCGCACGGGCTGAGCTCCGAGTCCAGCCGCAAGACCAAGGTGAGCCCGCCCGCCTCAGCCTTGTCTGGGAAGGCTGCCTGTTCTTCCTCCACCGTCTCCCTGTCCCCCACCATCCCTCCTTCCTCCCTCCTGCTACACATGCATAACCCCATGGTCACAGCCGATGCCATCCATCCCATGCCACTGCGGTCCTGTCTGCTCACGCTGTTACCCAGGCCCAGGCTGGGGGGCAGTGAGATGGGACCATCCTGAGGGCGAAGCCAGTGAATGGGCGCCACCTGAATGGGTGCCGCGTGGTGGCCACAGGGTGCCATGGCACTTAGCTAGGGTCAGGACACAGTGCGACGCTCTCTGTGTGACCTAGGACAAGGCCTGGCCTCCCTCAACATCTTTGTTGTGTGCCCTGTGAAGCGAGGGTGGACCACATGCTCTGTGTGGGCCTTCAGGCTTGACACTTCTGGGATCCCAAGTGACTGGTTTCTTCCCTGGGTGGGGAGCATGTCCCCAGCTGACTGGGCTGACTGAATGGGAAGGCCACGCCCATCAATCCTGCCCCTTCCCCAGGCCTCCTCTCTGGGCACTCTGCAGGATGGGGTCGGGAGCCCTGGGGCATCCAGTCCAGTGTCTGAGCCCTGGCCTGTGAAGCAGTCCCCAAGGCCTAGCAGCACCAGCCC